ATGAATGGAATGAAGAGAGGCAAACATTACAGAATGTCATAAATGTAGATATTGCCATGTAAATAAGATGACTAGGTATCCAGTTATGTGAAATTTTACACATTGACCTCTTGTATTGTTCGACTTAAGAGCTGACTTTACTCACTGCCCAAACCTCTAATTTTTTTAGAGATGGGAGCCTTGTCTCAAAATTAATGCCTTCCCAGCTTCCTAGTGTTCTCCGAATGGGACTACAATGATACAGTAGCCAGCAGCTAAGGGAGCCACTGAAAAAAAGTTCAATATGAGTAAAAGTTGCTGAAATCATATGATTAAATTTTAAAGAAGTATTTTAACACATGCTGCCTTTTCAGCATTCTTGGTAACTTGTAGGGTATAATTGAGGCAATTACCATCTGCAGTGTTGTTGAAATGCAGGGCTTAAACACACTATAATACAGCAGGAAGATAATTTGCTTTTCATGTGAAGACAAGAAACTTTTGGATGGGACCCATTTTTGATGTATTGATTGCTAAACAATTATATCTTAAGGGATTTGGGGTGGTGGTGTTTTCTTTAACTGAATAATAAGCATTGATATAGGGAAGACAGGTGTAAATTCTTCAATACCAAATAGGCATATCAAATCAGTGTATTTGTACCTGTCCAATTTATAAAGGTCTCTGTATAAAGAGACCTTTATAAAGGTGACTTTATTGTTGCTGTTCATTTACTGTATACATTTTACTTATTATAGCTGTATTTCTATTTTAAACCAATCCAGGAAAGGCTTTTTGATAGACAGGTTCTAAATAACTAAAAATATTGAATTCATTATATTATGTCACCTGATATTCTGTTGCTTTTACCAAATATAGAATCTGATGGAAACCAGCTTGTCCAACACTTTCCCCTCTGTATGGATTCTGCAACAACTAGTGGGCCAGCCAAAAGTAGGTTCTTGCTTCCTTATTAGCCACTGGCTAACTCTCTATTTACAGATTTTAAAAATATTAAATATATCTTCAGTCATGTTTTCTTTGCTCCTTCCCATTTTCTTTCTTTCCTGCTTGCCTCAGCTATTTTTGTCTAAGAACACAGTTGATTAAGGGCATAAAATTTCCTCAGGGAGCCAGCAGACAACTGGAAAATTAGTAGTACGGCTGGTCTCACATGATTCAATCAAGCTGCTTTCATACATGGAGGGATTTATCTATCTATTTATTTACTTGATGTATACTCATTCCTGTGGGCCAAAACAGATGTACCGCCTCAGTTAGAGGCACACCAGCATGGAATGCTGGGACTTGCCGCAAGAGAAAGCCAAGCAGGCAGGGTTAACGCCGTGCTCACTGATATTCTCCATGAATTTGCTTTTTCCTTTTTATAAAATCTGAAGGGGAAGCTTTTCCAGAAGGTGGCAATCACTACATTTTATATCAATGATTTTCACAGTTATATAGACTGGATGAAGAACTAGCCCCATTTGTCTGACCCACCTCTTAGATACTCATTTTTTTTCCTACACCAAAACCCTGAATTCCTGTAATTGTTCCTCACAGAAAAAAAATACCAGCTCCTTGATCATCGGGGGTGTTATTTCTGAACCTTCTGAAGAGTAAACTTTTTGAAGTTCAGTGAATGGAAATGTACACATTGTTCTAAATGTGGTTATAACATAGATCAGATATTCTCAACGGGGACCATATGGTCCCTGGGGAGTCTTGGCACATTTCAAAAGGGCCACAGACTGGAAACAATTCTTCATACACTAATAAGGAACATTATGCAACTTAATCCTGATTCGGCCTGCATTTTTTCATATTATATTTATGGTTATGGCCAAAAAAAGGTTGAAAATAGATGCCGTAGATTTCTATGAATGTATTATTATACCAATATATCTATTTTCAGTTCCCCAGATTCCTTCCCAATGGTTCCCAGCAGAGATGGCCAAGAAGGAACAATGGCCTTAGGGTAGTTCACAGCAATTTCGATTGTATAATAGATTGTGACTATGGGCTAGAAAGGAGGGAGCAAAACAAGAGAGAAAACTCTAGAAGGGTTAAGAACAGGGATTGAAGAGAGATAATTATTTGCCATTATTGTAATCATTCCTTGATATTTTTTTTACCTATCCATGTGAGTGAATAACTCAGTTATTCAATAACTTAATGAATAGTATATAAATACTTAAAGGAGTATATGGGGGAATAAATTATGTTAATATAGATGTGAAAGAATTAAGAGGCAAATAATAATATATAAAATAATCTTTAAAATTAAAAAGAATGATAAACTCTGGGAGGAAGAGTTAAAATGGAGCCCACTCAAAGGTTATTTTGCTATCCATTTGCGTGATGAGGAGACAGAACCCACAGTGTAAGTAACAATGTGTGTTGCAGTACACACTCATATCACAAAACGAGCTTGTGTGGTGCAAAGCAGAGATGTAACTAGGGTAGGACAACTGGGGCTTTACCCAAGGGCACAAAAAACTAGAGAGCACCAAAGTCAGAAGTGAATTGACTGGAAGAGTGTAAGTTAACATGAACAGTAACATGTCCTACAGCTAATAATTTGTGAGGAAGTCTGTAGAGGGCCCAGCTTGTCCCATTGCTTGGAGCGAAGACCAAGTGCCATACCTCAACATTGTGCCACGGAAGGTTCTCCACTATTAAGAAACAGGAAGTATATGCTCTTAGAGAAAGAAATGAGGGCACTGTAGCATCATGTCCATCCTCTGCCCTCTGAGACAATTATAAGGACTGGCACACCTACATTGGTGCTGAATCCATGCCCAAGGAGGAGGAAGACACCACAGCACCACTGGCAATGTGGGGCAGTCCCCAAGATTGCGCAGCAGGAGTCTCGTGGTGAATTGGGAGGTGATGTTGCTGCCCTGGGTGCTAACGTTCTAGAGAATCATCCATGCCAGAATGCATGACTGAACTCTGATTCTTTTTGCACAATGGATATCATTTAGATCATAGTGAATTACACAATGATCTGATCTTCATGTTTTGTAGATACATATCTTAAACCCCAGCTTCACATCCATTTCTGTTTTGGAAAGTGCAAATTTAGTGAATCCAGACTTTGCGTTCAAGACTGTTTTCAGCATTAAGGTTTTCAACTGCACCACTGTTCTCTTTGAGAAAAGCTTTCCACAGTTCTCATGATTCCAGTTCAGCGATCCCTTACTCCAATATCAATAATCAGGAAGGTTTGTTTGTTTTTTACAAATGTTAATATCATAGTAATGAAATGCAATTTCCTATTTTTTATAAGAGGTGGCGAAATGATATATTACTCAATGATACGCTGCATATTAATATTTTAGTATGTTTACCCTTTGGAGGGTTATCAGAAGTTCCTGTTCCTGCATTCTAATTTCTTTTGAAGTTCAGAATTATTGAATAAAGAAAGAAACTGTTATTTACAATGACTAAGGCAGTGGCATAAGGAAAAGAGATATTGCTATATGTAACTATGTAATATCCTCCTAATACCAGAGACAAATAAAGACCAAAATATAACCATGGTTAGCAGAACCAAGTCAAAAGACATATCTAGGGGGAAAGGGAAACCACAACTTGGAAGCAATTCATTGCAATAAACTGCAATGACAAATTAGAACTATTTTTCTGCAACACATTTCTTCTAAGAGCAATGAAATGTCATTGCTTTTATTTTAAAAACAGCATTAACATTTTTGTTTACCCAATGCATAACATCTTCACATGTTGGGAAATGGTTGTGGGGTGCTCTCTCTTCTGTTAGACATGATATAGCTAGAAGTCCCCCCCCTTTTTTTCTTCTTCACCATAATCTTAGAACTGCAGAACTGGAACGGACCCTATGGATTATTGAGTCCAGCCCCTGTCTCTTTTTAAATAATTTTTAAATAAGCATCTTAAGCCTCAGAGCAGAGCAAGAGATCCTCCCAGCTCCAAATAATTAGCCAAGAGAGATGCAGTACAGGAGGTATGGTCAGCTGCCAGCACTTCTTGGGAGTAGCTATAGTACAGTACTGCATCATTAGCATCTCTAGGAAATGCTGGCAGCCAGCCACACACTTATTGTGTTAATAAGTGATTGGTGTAATGTTCTAGCCATGCCAAGGAAGTGCTGGCTACTGGCCATATTTCCTCGCTGAAATCTACTAGTAAGTCATGACTAGAGTAGGCCCATTGAATTAGTGGCATTTATGGAGGAGTTGATTCACAAAATCCCCACTAATGTAATGGGCCTACTCAAGTTGTAACTTACTTCTGTCCTTGTGCCACTCTTGCCTCCAAACTGATGAACGTAATGGAACGCATTGCTATACTCCTTTCCTCTGGTGATTTATGGTAAGAGCAAGTTCCTCTTTTGTTAACTTTAATCTGTTACCTTTTAAAGTAAATGTTTCCAAAAACCAGATGCAAAGATAAACAGACGAGAAATAGGTTGCTTCCGCTTCCACTGCACACTTAACAGGGAGTTTAGTAACTTTAAAATTAAAGATGCAAGCGAGCATAATCAACTACAAAAGATTGTACTTCCAAGATTCCATCCAAATAAACAAAATTACTGCATATTTGTGCTGTATGCCAAAAAAAGGCCAAATGTATGTTTGTGTTTTAACTGACACTAACATCTGGAGCCTCATATTAATGAGTCAAACCGCAGTTTTAATCCTTAACTCCAATCTCTCACAAGGAAGCTACCAACTACCCTACAATTGCACTTTTTAACCCATTTAGATCCCAGTTGTGTTCAGTGATCTCATGTAGTCCAAAGGGAAAATTTGAAGAACTTGGAAGTACATAAATACAGTCACTGTTGAATTATGTTAGACTATACCTAGAAAAATATAGTACAAAGAATCAGTTACCTGTAATCTGCTCTTTTTCCCATAACTGAGCTGTAATTGCAGTGCATTACAATTATTTACAAAGCGATATCACTCCTTCTTCATGACACCTGATACCTTTGCAAGAGGCTACTTCAGAATGCTCCAAGTATTTAGACTCACCAATGACTTGTTTTTTGATTTCTTGTCCTTTTCTTTGGCCCCCTTTTTGTTGCTAGTGAAATAGTGCAAGGTGCCATATTCCATCAAGGCAGCAAAGACAAAAATGAAACACACAGAGACGAAGAGGTCCATAGCTGTTACATAGGAGACCTTGGGAAGAGACTTCCTTGCAATGGTGCTCAGGGTCGTCATTGTCAACACAGTGGTGATGCCTGCTCAGAAACGACAAATACAGTTTGACATTATAACAAAATGTTCAGACAAAATGACTCTAGAGATCACTAGACTATGAGCCATGCTGAGATCTACAGTGGAAACAATCATTAGACAGGAGCCAGCCACCACAGCAGTTTGGCTCTAGTAGAGGATGGTCATAGAAGCAGGCATCTATGGTTTTAATTAAGCATGTATAGTGTTTTCATTGGATTACTTTCACCAAACACTTCAGGAGTCTACAGGGTGACAGCCAAGAAGAAAATGGAGACTAGTTACTGTGCACTTCATTGTGTGCACACGGACACACACACCTTTAAATGAGAGAATATGAATCTATTTCAAAAAGTCCAAAGCTGTGTAACATTTAAATTTTAAGGCTGCATATATTTCTTAAAACATGTTTGTCCTGCCAACCCTTTATTATAATCATAATTTTAAAAATATCCTTTGGGTGATTTTTTATTTATATATTTTTTTCCATTCTTCATTTGTAATTTGATTTAATGAACTTCAGAAATATGACACGACCATATAGGCGGTAAATAAATAAATAAATAAATAAATAAATAAATAAATAAATAAATAAATAAATAAATAAATAAATAAATAAATAAATAAATAAATAAATAAATAAATAAATAAATAAATGTTTTATGATGTTTTCGCTGTAATCTTCTTAGAGGGCCTTGCAATATATAAAAATTAATAGATGAAGACATATCATAGCAAAGGAGGCAGCATATTTATTTTAGTGCTATATATTTCACTCACATTGTATCACTTCATTTCTCACAAGAAAGCTACCAGCACACCAGCTATGTGGCTGGTTATTGTAACTGAGGAAACTTTTTAACCCATTTAGATCCCAGTTGTGTTCAGTGATCTCATGTAGTCCAAAGGGGAAATCAAACATGTGCAATAAAGAACTTAGAAGTACACAAATATAAGCTCTGATGAATTATCTCAGATTAGACCTGGAAAATAGCTAGTACAAATAATTAGTTACCTGCAATCTGCTCTTTTTCCCATAACAAAGCTGTAGCTGCAAAGCATTACAATTATTGACAAACGATAATATCACTCCTTCTTCGTAAGAACTGAAAACTTTGGTTACTTAGGTGGTGGTCTCTCTAAATCAATGGTTCCCAATCTTGAGTCTCCAGATATTCATAGACTACAACTCCAAGAAAACCTGGTCAGCAAAACTTGTAGTGAAGACTTCTGGGAGGTTTAGTCGACAACCACCTATGGACTGACTGCTTTTGTTTGTGAAGAAAAATGGTTCGGAATGACTGCTTTAGTTTGTAAAGAAAGAATGTGAAAAATATCATTTGCGTGATCATGCTGCTACCTCATGCTATTTGTGCTTATTGGAGTGATGACAAAGTCTTGCACAGCTTAATGGCTTATAATATTCAGATGCTATTAAGCAATTAAAACTAATTCTTTAATTTGGTTGTTGTTGTTTAGTCGTTACGTCGTGTCTGACTCTTCATGACCCTGTGGACCAGAGCACGCCAGGCCCTGCTGTCTTCCACTGCCTCCCAGAGTTGGGTTAAATTCACGTTGGTATCTTCGATGACACTGTCCAACCATCTCATCCTCTGTCGTCCCCTTCTCCTCCTGCCTTCACACTTTCCCGCCTTCACACTTTCCCAACATCAGGGGCTTGAGATGGCCAAAGTATTGGAGCCTCAACTTCAGGATCTGTCCTTCCAGGGAGCACTCAGGCTTGTTTTCCTTCAGAATGGATAGGTTTGTTTTCCTTGCAGTCCATGGGATTCTCCAGACTCTCAACTCATCAGTTCTTCAGTGGTCAGCCTTCTTTATAGTCCAGCTTGCACTTCCATACATCACTACTGGAAAAACCATAGCTTTGACTACGTAGACCTTTTTCAGCAAGGTGATGTCTCTGCTTTTTAAGATGCTGTCTAGGTTTGTCATCACTTTCCTCACAAGAAGCAGCCGTCTTTTAATTTCGTGGCTGCTGTCACAGTGATCATAGAGCCCAAGAAAGTAAAATCTGTCACTGCCTCCATATCTTCCCCTTCTATTTGCCAGGAAGTGATGGGACCAGTGGCCATGATCTTAATTTTTTTTATGTTGATGTTTGCGCTCTCCTCCTTTACCCTCATTAAGAGGTTCTTTAAGTCCTCCTCACTTTCTGCCATCAGAGTGGTATCATCTGAGGTTGTTGATATTTCCTCTGGAAGTCTTAGTCCAGCCTTTCGCATGATGTATTCTGCAAATAAGTTAAATAAGCAAGGAGACAATATACAGCCTTGTCGTACTCCTTTCCCTATTTTGAACCAATCAAATGTTGTTCCATATCCAGTTCTAACTGTTGCTTCCTGTCCCACGTATAGGTTTCTCAGGAGATAGATAAGGTGATCAGGCACTCCCATTCCATTAAGGACTTGCCATAGTTTGCTGTGGTCCACACAGTCAAAGGCTTTTGCGTAGTCAATGAAGCAGATGTTTTTCTGGAACTCTCTGGCTTTCTCCATAATCCAGCACATGTTAGCAATTTGGTCTCTAGTTCCTCTGCCCCTTCGAAATCCAGCTTGTACTTCTGGGAGTTCTCAGTCCACATCCTGCTCAAGCCTTCCTTGTAGGATTTTGAGTATAACCATTCTAGTGCGTGAAATGAGTGCAATTGTACGGTAGTTGGAGCATTCTTTGGCACTGCCCTTCTTTGGGATTGGGAAGTAGACTGATCTTTTCCAGTTCTCTGGCCACTGTTGAGTTTTCCAAGCTTATTGGCATATGGAGTGTAGCACCTTAACAGTGCATCTTTTAAGATTTTAAATAGTTCAATTCACAATGCCATCACCTCCACTGGCCTTGTTGTTAGTCAAGCTTTCTAAGGCCCACTTGAGTTCACTCTTCGGGATGTCTGGATCAAGGTCAGCAACCACACTATCTGGGTTGTCCGGGATATCCAAATCTTTCTGGTATAATTGTATATTCTTGCCACCTCTATTTGATGTCTTCTACTTCTGTGAGGTTCTTACCATTTTTGTCCTTTATCATGTCCATCTTTGCACAAAATGTTCCTTTGATATCTCCAATTTTCTTGAAAAGATCTCTGGTTTTTCCCTTTGTATTATTTTCCTCTATATCTTTGCATTGTTCATTTAAGAAGGCCCTCTTGTCTCTCCTTGATATTCTTTGGAAGTCTGCATTCCATTTTCTGAAACTTTCCCTATCTCCCTTGCATTTTGTTTCCCTTCTCTTCTCTGCTATTTGTAAGGCCTCGTTGGACAGCCACTTTGGTTTCTTGCATTTCCTTTCCTTTGGGATGTTTTTTGTTGCTGTCTACTGTACAATGATATGAGCTTCCATCCATAGTTCTTCAGGTACTCTGTCCATCAAATCGAGTTCCTTAAATCTGTTCTTCTCTTCCACTGTGTATCCATAAGGAATTTGGTTTAGATTATACCTGACTAGCCCTGTGTTTTTTCTTACTTTCTTCAGTTTAAACTTGAGTTTTGCTATAAGAAGCAGATGATCAGAACCACAATCGGCTCCAGGTTTTGTTTTTGCTGACTGTATAGAGTTTCTCCATCTTTGGCTGCAGCGAACATAATCAGATTTTGGTATTGCCCATGTGGTGATGTATGTGTGTGGAGTCACTTCTTTATTGTTTGAAAAGAGTGTTTGTGGTAACCAGCTTGTTCCCTTGACAAAACTCTATTAGCCTTTGCCCTGCTTTGTTTTCAACTCCAAGGCCAAACTTACCTGTTCTCCTTTTCATCTCTTGACACTGTACATTAGCATTCTAATCCCCTATAAAGAGAAGAACATCTTTCTTTGGTGTCAGTTCTAGAAGGTGTTGTAAGTCTTCATAGAATTGGTCAATTTCAGCCTCTTCAGCATCAGTGGTTGGTGCACAAACATGGATTACTGTGATGTTGAAAGGTCTGCCTTGAAACTCTCTATCATTTTTGATTGTATCCCAGTATAGCTTTTCCCACTCTTTTGTTGACTATGAGGGCTACTCCATTTCTTCTATGGCATTCTTGCCCACAATAGTAGATATGACAATAGTCTGAATTGAATTTGCCCATTCCCGTCCATTTTAGTTCACTGAGCCCAAGATGTCAAGGTTTATTCTTGCCATCTCCTGTTTGACCACCTCCAGCTTACCAAGGTTCATAGATCTTTTATTCCAGGTTCCTATGCAGTATTTTTCTTTGCAGCATCGGACTTTCCTTTCACTTCCAGGTGCGTCCCCAGCTGAACTTCCTTTCGGCTTTGGCCCAACCACTTCATTAGCTCTGGAGCTACTTGTACTTGTCCTCCACTCTTCCTCAGTAGCATGTTAGATGCCTTCTGACCTGAGGGGTTCATCTTCAAGCATCATATCTTTTAGCCTTTTGTTTCTGTCCATGGAATTTTCTTGGCAAAGATACCGGAGTGGCTTGCCAGTTCCTGTTCCAGGTGGATCATGTTTAGTCAGAACTCTCCACCACGACCTGTCCGTCTTGGGTGACCCTGCACGGCATAGCCCATAGCTTCTCTGAATTACTCAAGCCCCTTCACCACAACAAAGCAGCAATCCATGAAGGGGAATTCTTTCATTTACTTTTGAGCAAAGGGATTGTGTTTTTAAAAATACTTATTATTTTTATGCAAACACATTATTTGTTTTTTTATTAAGTTCTTGTAACAACTCACATTTTCTTGCTGGAATTTGGACAACTTTTAGATTTGTCTCTTCAGTGCCCCCCAAAAGTAATAATTTTCTAATATAGCTGCATTTAAATTTACTTCCCCATTTCATAGAAGTAACTAGAATGAATACTTTTAGTTACTTTAATACATACATACAAAAGTGCTATAAAACATCAGCCAGAGGTACAAAATTCACTCTCTTCCCAACTACCTCACTGTTGCTTCAACACCCACAACAGAACACAAGTCAGCACTTGAACCATGAGATCTTCCCTCTCTGTTATTTTGCAGGGCTACACTCTTACAATAATAAGGGCAACTAAGAAGTTGCAATTACACTGAAAAACGTGTTAAGTTATCCCTGATTAGGTGATAAACCATAATGTAATGCAATAACTTTCCTTTAATATTGCAAAAAAGTAAACTAGAAGTATTTGGTTATTTGCCATTCATTACTTCCTAACTTGTCACAGAAGAAATAAAGAATTAAAATGCAGTATTAAAAAAACTGCTGTAAACTAAAGTGCACTTGAAACCCAGGAGCAAATAAACAGAGATGGGGTTTGAAGTGCACAGATACCTAATGATGTTCTTGCCGGCACTGCATCTTTGTTAATCCAGAATGAGACCCAAGAAAGAACAACAGTCAGGATGCAAGGAATGTATGTCTGAATGGTAAAATACCCCATACGCCTGCTCAGGACAAAGAAGATTGTCATGACGACATAATCCCCTGCATGAGAAAAAAAGAAATCCATTCTCAGTTATATCATCCAGGTGAACTCTTCATACACTTTTCATTTTGCTTTCCTCCCAGAATATCATCCTGTGATGGCTGAAAAATTATGAGTGGAAAAACTATCTCAATTACCTTTATGGCTAATAAACACATACGAGGATGCTAAACCTATAAACTGGGTAAAGCAAGGAAATACACGTTGAGTTTGGATCTAGATTTACGTACATAAAAGTGAGCTGATAAAAATGGACTTCCTTCTCCCATCTTTTCCATGGCCGCCTCTCCTCAAACCTGCTACACGGAGGGCCCAGGGCCCCTGACTGAAATATTCTACTGTGGTTGAGAAGGAAGAGGGACATTCTTCCGAACTGGACAGATGCACCTTCCATGAGCCAAAAGTCCTCATACCCACTGGGTGGGGTGTGGGTGTGGATGTGGGGATGGGAGTGTGTGTGACACAGGAGGATTCACCCCAAGAAGCATGCTTCAACCAGTCTACTGTATATGCTGGAAAAAAATGTTTGAGAAGGTACTGCTTCCCGTATTCTTATGCTAAACGAATCAACAGAAAACTAAGCATATAAGAAAAGGTAGCTCGTTTTTCTGATGTTTTATTTCAGAGGAGAAAAAGTACTGTCAATCTTCCTGCTATATATCCTGCTATGAAAACTTAATAAAACAAAATGTTATAATAAAGCTACAGCTACATGTTCCTGTGCTCAATTTCAAACAAATAATGCAACTGTGATAGGATTTTTTTTTGTTCTAATATCAAACTGTTTTGCCATTTGATGTACCTGAAGCACAGAAGTCAGTTGGCATGGGAAATGGCACGTCTTTCCTTACCAGACTGTGTGTGAGAGATATCAGTTGTATTTCGTAAGCCCACAAACGCAAATTGGTACAGTCTCCAGTATTTCGGATCTGCCACTTCAACAGAGGATTTTTTCCATTTGTATACAATTTCATTTCTTGGGTATCCATCTAGAAAATAGGAGCACAACATGGGTTCCAAAAATCAATTACATTGTCACAATAGAAAACTGCATAATCCCGGTGCAGAATGCTTTGACGTTCCATTTATGACTGCAGGGATATGTTCAGTGGTCCAGTTATGTAATTTTAGATGCTGGATTTAATGTTCTTACCAGGGAGGGGCTTTTATAAAGCGATGTGTATTATTTTTGTTGTGAAGCATGCAGCTAATATTTCTCTTCCTCGTCCCCTTTCATGCTTTACAATTGCTTCTGCACTGCTGAGATGTAGCAGGAAAAAATTGTTGCCAACCTTGACCCTCGAAAGGGAAAACACTATACATTTTTACACTCACTCAATGGGATGTTTCCAAGAGGCAGTTAGCTATTAGTCTGGAATTGTCTTCTGGATTTGTTTCTGAGCCTGGGTGCCCAGGTTTTAGCAATGACCAGGAGTGCTTTTGCACAGTTAAATCTAGCATGCCAGCTGTGCCAGTTCTGGAGAGTTCTGATCTGGCCACAGTGACACATATCTTAGTTACGTCCCAGCTGGATTACCGTAACACACGGCGACATGGGGCTGCCTTTGGAAAATGTTTGGAAAGTTCAGCAGATCCAAAATGCTATAGCTAACTGGGGCTGGTCACAGGGATCACATAACCCCTTACTACAGCAGCTTTGCTGGCTGTTGATCTATTTCTGAGCACAATTCAAAGTGTTGTTTTCAACCTATAAAGCCCTAAATGACTTGGGTACAAGCTATCTCATGGACTGTGTCTCCCTTTATGAGCCTGCCCAGGTGTTAAGATAATTGGGGAGGCCATTTTGTTAGTTCCACCACCTTCACAGTTGTGTTTGGTGGGAACACAGAAAAGGGCCTTCTTTGTCACTGCTCCTAGACTCTGGACTCCTTCCAATGGGAGGCTGACCTGAGCTCATTGTTGATATTGTTCCACAAGCAGACAAATACCTTTCTCTTCAGGCAGGCATTTCCTGAGGGACTGGCTGTCTGAGTGGGTTTTTCAGTTGCATTATTGTGCCTTGTTGGTTTTAAATGTGTGGGGTTTTTTTTAATATTAATTATATTTACCATTTTTAATATAATATTTATTTTATTTAAAATATTTTTACTCCACCTTTCTCCTTAAAAGGACTCAAGGTGGCTTAATTCTTTAAAATATTTTATATATACATTTTTTAGCTTTTAAATATTGAATTTTTAATTATGTAAACCACTGTGGGTCCTTTGTAAGGAGAAAGGTGAGGTAAAAATATTTCATATAAATGAATAAGGAATACTGTAGTCTGTTTCAGCATGCACTACTGAAAGAAAATCATTTTTAAAAATTCTGTCATATGTTGAAGACTAACATTTATTTCAGCGCAAGCTTGATTGCAATCCACTTGATTGCAATCCACTTTTTCACACCAAGAAATGCATCCAAGAAAGTGGAGTGTAATCTATAGAAGCCCACACTAAAATTAAACTACCTTGTGCTTTTGTTTGCCTCCTTTTTTTTTTTTTGTTAAACTGTACCACTATCATGTCCACAGTAATAAAATGGAATTTGTCTATGCTTCCCTGTTACTACAAATTTAGTTTGGAATAAACATCATTTTGTTGTAGAAAAGGATAACATATTTTCACAGTAAATATAATAAAAGAAGCAGTATAAATACGTATATGCCTGCCCAACTGCCCTTGACTAAAATGCTTATTGTTAATAATAAGCAAAGGAAGGGAGTTTCAAGAAGATACAGCAGTCTTGCCAGGCCACAGAAGACACATATGTTTACCCTTTATGCTTCTGACTCATCACCTGCTGATATTTGGCTATAAGGCCCCCGACTGCCCCCAAGATTCAGTTACACCACTAGATACGTACAGCAATTGGCCAACTGGGTACCAAACAAACCAGTTCACTTGAATGTGATAGGAGTAAATGTTTGACTTATTCAATTAAGGCAATTGCCTCATAAAGATTGTTCTTACTTGGGACAGGCTGTTTTGTGTGTGTGTAGCCAGCCTCGTAAAAGCAGGCTCAACAAAGCAGGCTCGACCCCCCTTTGCTTTCTTTCTTCACAGCTCAAGGACTTACGCTTCCTAAAGTAACACTGACAATAGATAAGAATGGAATGCAGAGCTAACAAAAGACAAAAGGGCGATTTAGGGAAAGTGAATTGTTCTGCGCATGTGTAAAATGTGTTTTCACTAATCCAATGAATTATTGCTAACTAACTTAATGACCTTTTAAGGAGACTGTGAGCCCACCCCAATTGCCCTGAAGGGAGAGGCTATAAAAGATTGTACTAATTCCTTTGTTTCTTTGAAGAAACCCTAATCACCTCAATTAGGTGAAATAGCTTTCTTCCCGCTATCTGCAGTGGCGTTTTGATTTTCATGCAAATAAAATAGAACTTCAATGGAAAACCTTCGTGTCTCAGTTCTCTATTTTTTTTTAGAGCTTTCCTCCATTAGAGAACCGGATAACAATTTGAAAATGTGGAGAGGTAAATGAGGCTACTTTTCAGACAACACAACACAACCCCTAACTGACTCTTGACTTCCTGTTGCAATAGAATTTGGGAGGATTATGTTTCCACACTGTGATTAAAATGCAGCAGCCAAGGAAGCCACACAATGAAATTTCCAGTAGTCAACAGAAGGGATAGCAAAGAAAACCCCAAAAATTAAGGAACTAGTAAGAAGCAGCAGTATTATGCAAACTAAGCAAAAGTTTTAGTTTACACAAATTAAACAAGTATTGAGCCATGCTCAGAAATTGCCCTCCAAACATTCATGACCATGCATACGTAGAGGAAACAAGGGCAATTTCTTCTGGTCAACCCCAAACTGATGGCTTCTCCTCTACATGTTTCACTTACAATTTGACACTGGAGTTTGTGTGCCTACAGCTAAATGCTTATAGCCTCCTCCACATATATGGGATCTCCAGTCACATGGGGCTCAAACTTCTGTGGATTCAGCTGAAAACACGTAGGCTTCCCTATCTGAGCATCTGGTCAGAGATGGTGTGGATGGGAATGGGACCAACTGGGCAGGTCCTCTCCATGCATTCATGGACATGGGGAGAGGAATTTCTGAATGGGGCTAGAGAATTCAACTCTTCTCAGTAAAAGTTTGCAAGTACAGTCGTGCCCTGCTTAACAATTACCCCGCATTACGACAAATCCACTTCACGATGATGTTTTTGCGATCGCAATTGCAAAACGATGGTCTAAATGGGTTTTTTTCGCTTTGCGAAGATCGGTTCCCTGCTTCAGCAACTGATTCTTCGCATTACGATGATCAAAAAAGCTGATCGTCAGGTTTTCAAAATGGCCACCAGGTGCTCAAAATGGCTCCCCGCTGTGCTTAGGGACGGATTCTCACTATATAGGCACCGAAAATGGCTGTTTTATGGAGGATCTTCGCTGGTCGGTGAGTTTTTAGCCCATTGGAACGCATTAACCGGGTTTTAATGCGTTTCAATTGGTTTTTTAATTTCGCTTTACGACGTTTTCGCTCTACAGCGATTTTGCTGGAATGAATTAATGTCATTAAGTGAGGCACCACTGTACCTGTTTTAACACACTAGGTACAAACAATTTGTATTATTGGTTATCATTACAATTTTAAACACCTCATAAGAAGAACCTTGAAGAAGAACAGAATACAAGTTTTCTCTTTGGGTTTCTGCTTATGAATGCAGTGCACCCACCATTAAAACAGTGTAGCTAAAAAGTCTTTGGAAAGAACAGAGTCAGACTTTCAGCTGAAATATGGAAGTAAAAATGAAGCAATAAATTACTTTCACAGTGGTTGGTTTCATCGCCTATTAAGTTTAACACTTGGGAAGAAACTGTTTAGATCTAGTCATTGTTTTATTCTCCTCCTTATAGTCTTATGTCCTTGTGAGCAAATTAATTTTCTATGCTTATTACAGTTTGTAATATTGGGTGTAATTCAGAAAGTCACTAAAGCTCGAAAATGTCTGGGAAGTATTATGTTGGTGAAAGCAGTTCTAATAGTGTGCTCATGAGACCCAACCACAATCTATTCAGAATAATCTTGCTGTTGTTTTATATAAATAGATAATCATGCTACAACATGAAATAGATCATTAGTGACAGCTCATAGTTGTAGTCCATCTGTCCTTGGCATAGTTCAAAGCAGAAAACATTTCCTCCAAGTTAATCCACACGTCATATTAAGTCAGTATGCTTTGACTTAAGTAGTGTTGCACCTTTTGCTGTTTTGCTTACTTTGTCTTGTGTTTGGCCATTAGGAAGTAAACACAAGCTTCATTTACAAGTCTGATAGCTCAGACATGAAACTCTTAAGGAATCCCCTTTATGTAAGAACGTAAGAAGAGCCCTGCTGGATCAGGCCAAGGGGCCATCTAGTCCAGCTTCCTGTATCTCACAGCGGCCCCACCAGGTGCCTCTGGGAGCACACGAGACAACTAGATACAGATCTTGTCTCCTGATACCGCTCCCCTGCATCTGGCATTTTGAGGTAGCTTCCTTTTAAGCCTGAAGATCTCCATCATGGTTTATAACCTGTGATGGACTTTTCTTCCAGGAATTTATCCAATCGCCTTTCAAAGGCATCTAGGCCGGATGCCATCACCATATCCTGTGGCAAGGAGTTCCACAAACAACATGCTGGGCAAATACATATTTTGTTTTGTCTCTTCTCACTCTCCCAACATTCAATTTGAGTGGATGTCCCCTGGTTCTGGTATTGTGTGAAAGGGAAAAGAGCTTCCCTCTGTCCACTTTATCCATCCCCTGCATAATTTTATACATCTCATTCATGTCCCCCCTCAGGTGCCTTTTCTCTAGACTAAGGAGCCCCAAATGCTGAAGCCTTTCCTCATAAGGGAGGTGCCCCAGCCCAGTCATCATTTTAATCGCTCTCTTCTGTACCTTTTCCAGTTCCACCATGTCTTTTTTGAGGTGCAGCAACCAGAGCCGTACGCAATACTCCAGGTATTCTCCTTAACAGCATTTTGTACAATGGCATTATAATGTTGGCTGCTTTATTTTCAATCCCCTTTTTAATGATCCCTAGCATGGAACTGGCCATCTTCACTACCGCCACGCACTGGGTTGACACTTTCATCAAGCTGTCCACCAGCACACCAAGATCTCTTTCCTGACAGCTCAGAACCCAATAGCTGGTAAACGTTTTTTTTTGCCCCTATGTGCCTTTCTGGAAAACTAACACTTTGCAAAGAAGCACTATCTATATTAGCTAATTTGACCTTTAGCTCTCATCTACATTAACAAATAGATGTTCTCCAGGGAAACCAAGAAATAGTACTTTGATGAAATGCTGAGGATTGATTATTAAACATCCAAGATATCCCATTCCTCCTCCTCCTACAGAACTACAGGAAACCTTCTTCAGTTTATCTGGGAAGAGAGAAATACAGTGGTGCCTCGCTTAGCGAGGTTAATCCGTTCTGGATTAACCCTCGCTCAGCGAATCCATCGCTAAGTGAAACAAAAAAGCCCATAGGAACATATTAAAACTGATTTAATACGTTCCTATGGACTTAAAACTCACTGTTGTGCGAGTTTCCTCCATTGCAGCGGCCATTTTGGATGCCTCGTTAGCGAGGCAAAACAGCGGTCGCCATTTTGTTTTAGCGGCGGCCATCTTGGAACCGCTAATCAGCTGTTCACTATGCTTTGATCGCGTCCGCGCGATCATCGCATAGCGAAAAAGGCCCATAGGGACCATCGCTGAGCGAACGCGCCAGCGATGGCCTGGGACCCTTCGTTATGTGGTTTCATCGCACAGCGAAGCGTTCGCTATGCGAGGCACCACTGTACTTCTAAATTCGTTTAGGGCTACAGCCAATTGCATCCACATATGGAAGTAATTTCCATAGATGAAAGTGGGATGTATTTCTAATGAACAAACATAATGCAGAGCTGCTTGTCTATAGCATGGATCGGCTGCCAGATGACCAAATACTTTCTCATTTGTATATAGGTTACATTGCTACTTTCCTTCTTGTTGATTCACATTTACAGTATTTGTATGGGCTTTTGTCAGCCTCAGTTCACTTCACCACTAGACAAATCTCAACTGTTCTGAGAAAATATTTCAGGCATCATATGTGTGTGTATAGGGGCAGCTTCTCAATGTCAGAGCATGTGACTTGCACACAGAACACCATGTTTGCATGTAGTTCTATAGGGCTTCTTTGATCATTTCGTAGGTAGAGAAACCTGGCCAATAGCTATCTCCCATTTTGTTGTGAAAACACCTGAATTATCCAATAGCACATACAAGCCCCAGATATGTCTCCTTGGCTCAGGGCCATGCCAGTGCAGTGAGTAAATCTGCTCATTTCCAGCTTGGCTGTTTGTGTCCTTCAAGTGAGAATCTGTGTCAAGTCAGTTTCTGTATCTGAGCTCCTAAATCCACAGTTTGGGTTCACATCTTTAACAAGTCCTCTACTCTATTGTCCATGAACAAAGTCTAGACCAGGTTCTCAATATCTGATACCAAAAGAACTGGAGAACTTTGAATATTTCAGATATTTTGAACTAAAACTCTCTAATTCTCGGCATTAACCATAATGTCTGGGGCTCGTTAGGTTTGTGGTCTAAACCCTGGAGATCTTGCCCTCCATGCATCATTTAAAAAATATTAATTTTAATTTTTTATTTACTTAGTTAGTTACTGTATAGCTTCTATATTAAAGGCTACCCTCGGTAGACCTTCTTAACATGTATTATGGATAAAAGCCCTTGAATGAGGTATTATCCAATGTCACTTTTTCTATCTAAACTGGAAAGAAGCAATATGAGATACCTAGGAGACCATGCTATTTCCAGCAAGATGTATAACCATCCTGTTGCAGCCTCTTAATCAATAAGGTAGAACTTAAAATAAGAAAAATATATTAACTTTTTTACCACCTACAGCTTGAAAACTCCAGCGGACAGGAATGTTCATCCATAGGAAAGTTATGAAGTTGAAGATAACATTCAGCATTAATTGTCAACCTAAGCAGAAGGGAGGTGGAGGAGGAAGAGAGTTAGGGAAGAAGTTCTTAGAGTACAGTGAAGCAATCAGACATCTTAAATAAGATATAAAAGTGTTTCCCTTCAATGCCAGACTTCCTAAGGGATATCACAAACTACAATGCATAATTAATGTATGGATTAGCTATCACAAGTGCTACACAACTATCAAATGGCCTCATGGAGGAAGATATGTGTAGTCAGAGCATGAAAAATTGACTTTTGAGAGATGAAGAAACATGCATCTAGATCTAGTCATAAAAATGTTGGCGCTCCTTAAGTTGATATTATTATGAAATATAATTTCCCTGTGTTGCATGTTCATGTACATCAACCGTACCTAACTTGGTGCCCTCCAGATGCACCGAACCTTAAATTCCAGATGTCTTACTTTATTTCAGTGTCATCTAGGTCTGGCTTAAAAGTTCAGAGATCATAATAACTTTGATGGCCTCTCTCTTTCCCAGAAGATAATTTTGTATATGAGTGTGGATATAGAGTAAGACAGAGTTGGAAAACCTATAACTAATTTGGACTGCAACTTCCAGATTCTTGCTGGCTGCGCTTCTGGAAGTTGAAATCTAAAACACATGGGAGCCAATAGTTCTTCAGCCCTGCAAAAAAACCCTGCAAAGCTTGGAGTTCATTGGGAAGAATCTAAAAGCTTTCCTGTTGAAATAAACAATTAAGCCTCTTGAAAGAAGAGGGCATTGATCTTCTTAAATGGCAAAAGGCTGAATCCTCTTGAAATAAATCATGAATTAAGGAAGAGAAATGCTGGTTAAACACTGACAAAGAGAGTGGTACTTAAAGGTTTCCTCCTTACGTTAGAAGGATAAAAGGTCTTGTGGTAAGCTTTGTTGAGGTAAACAACACATGTAATACTTTGCAACTGGATTTTGATGACAAACCATAATAACATTTGGAAGGCACTGGAAGGCATTGGTGGGGGAAAGGCTGGGGCCACAATTGTGGAATGTATTTTGCCCACACCTTCTCTAGGGGATATCAACAGTCTTCCTGGTCCTTATTTCAAACTGTAGACTTAGAGCACTAAATGGGCAACTGGGGGAGTTTGAACTATGAAGCCTTAGCTGGAAAAGACCATCCCAGATGCAAACCAGATGCAAACTAGTCCCACTACCACATTTCTGAGCAACACATTCTTTCCTTACTTCATCTGAGAATGGGTATGGGTACTCCTGGCAGAGTGCATTGAAGAGGCCTTGCCAATTTCAAAAGGAAGAGTACATTTCCATTCCCCATGCCCTCAACAGGAAGTGAGGGACCTCTCTTCTTCACAACTAGCTATTTATTCTTCTACCAAGATAAGAATTCTGTTTGTTTGTTTGTTTGTTTCTTTGTTTCTTTGTTTGTTTGTTGTTTGAGAAGAAGGTGAGGAGACTAACAGGGGTAACATTAAAGATAAAGGGTCCTGGTAAAACTCTGCAGAGTTATTTGGAAGCACTCATACACAGCAGTTATCCCAAGTGGCTGGTTAAAGCCAATATTATGGGAAAAGCCCCTTAATCTGTCTTTAGTAAGATCAAGACAAGGTGAGGGGTTTTTTTTGGGGGGGGCATTATCACTCACAAACAGATTGCATATGTAGAAGTGCATGAAGGTTCGACTTAAATTCAAGTAGTTAAATTATTATCCTTCTGATTAGACATCTTCACACAAAAAACAACCTCCAGGACCTTACAGGTGAGATTCAAAACAGGGAGAGAGGGAAGGAGAACAGAAAATTTGGGGAAAAGCCTTACATCCTATAGAGTGTCTGAACTAGCATAGACAACCCCCATTAACTATATGGTTTATTCCTACCTTTCCTGGAATATTGTATGAGGAGTTACAATAAATCCATCAGGGTATATACCTCTAATCAGTTTCCCCTCCCCCAGTCATTTATCAGGAAGGCTTAAATTAACCAAAGGTATACTGAAGCAAACTTAGGGAAGATTGCTAACACCAGCTGCTTCTTTGCAACCACAAATGCTCAAGTGATAACATAGTTTAAACTTTACAGAGCTTAGAAAGCTACTTTTAAAATGTAATTATTACATTCATGGGGGTTGGACTTGATGGCCTTATAGGCCCCATCCAACTTCACCATTACTCATATTTTAATAAGATAGTAACTTGTTATGTCACTCTTGACTTTATTTATTTCTTTACTGAAACAATATGTTGCCTGTCTCTCAATGGAGGGAATCAAGGTGGTTCACAGTCAATGAAAACAATATAGTCAAACTCAATTAAAACACAATGGAATATAATATTAAAAAGGTAAATAATATTTAAAACTGTTATGTACCAATATTTAAAAAACAGACACACCTCAGACTGATGCTATCCCTTAGAGAAGGGGTGGATTAGTAGGAAAAAAGTTATCCATTTATTTTAGTACTGTTTGAAATACTTATTATGATTATTAGACAATGCAAGTAAAAATACAAAAATTGTGAAACTTTGACTAAATCCTCCCCCAAATATCATTTTTTTGTGATTTTTACACCCATAAGTAATAAATCAATCCAGTTACTACACTACTTTTTAAAAGTAACAGCAACCTTCCTAACATACTTGTAATAGGCTACTTTCCCTAAAGTTAACATACTTTGAGTCATATCCTGCTCCCAGGTTCTCAAGTACACATATTTAAATGTTTCTTTCCACTTTTCTTCCTTAACAGTGTATCTTATATAGTCAGCTCAGCCTAGAGGATTAATTGTATGTTTAATTCTGGCTGAAATCAATGCTACTGAAATAAGCTTTGAGGCTGCAAGCCTTGTACTTTGACTGCACATGATAACTTTCAAGCAAGTGTGTATTAGAGTAGGCTGTAAGTCCTGCTAGTTTCAATGGCCTTAAATCTATGAAGCCTGTGGAATACTGCAGTGGAAGAGAAGAAAATCACACTAGCTGGTTAAAATGGCATCCATCAAATGTCCTGTTTTGAGCCTTGGTGGAGGCTATTTGTAGCCACTCACTTGACAACTATGCTTATTTTGCCTAAATGCCCCTTTTGCAAAATTTACTCCTTTACTGATGAAGCATTGAAAAATGAGTACATTGTACAATTCCAGCAGTACAGAAACTGGCTGCCTTAGGGGAGAAGAACGAGCACATTATTAAGCTGGAAACAAAGGAGCAAGCTGAGAATTGTCAGTTTGGTGTCCCATGGCAAGAGTGTCACACAGAAACTGGAGGACGCTAGAGGTTGTTGTGGAACCAAATAGCCTGAAGTGTTGTCAGATCTTGTTATTGTAACTTCAGTCACTATCATCTGAACACAGCTTTGTTTCCTGCACAGTAATCACCTTGGGCAAATCAATCTATATCTCCTTCCCCATTGACAAATATATGGCTTAAAACTATTTGCTATATAATCAGCTAAAAACATTTATTAACCATCCTATTACACTGAAAATGAAGAGACATTAAGCTTACACTATCTTGCAGCAGCTATTTCATGTGGCGTAAGCAGAAGGAGAGTAGAGACAGAGCTATTCTGTGAGCTCACCTGAATGACCACCTACCTCTGGCTTTCCTTTTCCTTCATATCTCTACTAGCACGCTCCCATGATTCTTTCCACACCATATTTTCATTTCAAGAAATACAGCTTTGAGAGTGAATGCCTAGCTTTGCTTTTTGGATTTTTTTTCTTGACCTTTTTTTCCTCCTGTGTCATATCAAACGTTTTGGGCCCTGGATACCTGAAGGACCCCCTCCTTCCATATGAACCTAGCTGGCAGTTAAGATCTAGCCAGGGGGCCCTTTTGAAAGAGCCGTCCCTCAAGGAGGTAAGAGGGATGGCTTGTAGACAAAGGGCCTTTTCAGCAGCTGCCCCCAGACTATGGAACGCCATCCTAATTGAGATTCATCTGGCACCGACACTGATGACATTTCAGCACCAGGTCAAAACCTTCCTGTTCCAGAAGGCTTTAATTGAAATATGTGGGTCCTAATGGCAATTTTTAGAGTCTATATTTTAATTGTATTTTAATAGTTTTAACTTTTTTATTGTATTTTAATTGATCTAAGCCACCCAGAGACCTTTGGGTAGAGTGGGCGGCAAATAAGTTAAATAAATAAAATAAAAATAAATAAAATATCTATTAGACTGTAAAACTATGAGCACAATCTTTCTTGTTTTATATTGATATGTAAGCTATTTTGGGAGCCTCTGGTGGTAAAGAATGTGGGGGGATAAAAATGCTTCAGATAAATGAAGTGTTTAATTTGTAGAACAGTACTTAAGAACCTTAGGTCCCTAAGAATTCCTAGGCATTCCCATTACAACTTTCCCCTTCATTTTTCCTGTTTTTGATGTTTGGGATATAAGGATTGTAGTTTACACAGCCAACACAGTATTATATACACAGACAGAGGTATCAGGAGGCTTGAAACAAGACCTAGTTTTTCAGATGCCCCAAAAGTATTTTTGAAAGAAACGCTTGAGGATGCTTGAGCTAAGTCCTCAGTGAAAACTGAACATAGAATGCTGACTAAGTATTGGGATTTAAGAAAGATGTAGAGAAAGAAAGGAATGAAGTGTCTGGAATCCCTAACCACAGGATTCCCACACTACAGCATACAGTGGACCCTCGACTTACAGACAGCTCAACTTACAGACTTTTCGAGTTACAGACTTTTCTGGCCGCAAAATTTAGGTTCGACTTGCAGCCAGAGAATTGACCTACAGACCAGAAAAAAACCAAAATAGAAACAAAAATGGCCGGTTACGGGATTAATCGGTTTTCAATGCATTGTAGGTCAATGGACCCTCGACCTACAGACTTTTCGACCTGCAGCCACCATTCCAATACGGATTAATTCCGTAAGTAGAGGGTCCACTGTATTTTTGTAGGCTCCACATCTAATTCCTCTTCTTTCTTTAAAAACACATCGGAAAACAAAAACCCTGGCGTTTGGATCTTGCTCCCTCTGCACCGCCAGGTGAGATAAGGGGAAAAAATTATTTCTGGATTCCAACTGTCAGAATCATACTGCCACTGCTTGTGGCACTTCCCTTCCTGGCACTTCCCAGGTGCTGCTTTTCTCCCTGGAGATGCCCTGCAAAGATGCTAGAAGCCAGGGAAAAAAATCTGCTCAATAAGAAAGGGTTGCTATGGAAAAGAAAGGGGAAACATCCATACCTCTGTGGTATCTAATAAAGGAAAGGATGAGGCATGCACTTACACAGGTGTCTAAAGAATGCTCACGTGATGTCCTCAATAGAAATCACTGGACAATCTAAAGTTGCTATGGAGTTGAGATTGGAAAAATGGGAAAGGGAGAGAAGCATAAATGACAGGTTTGTCATATTTGTAAAGACTGACATGTTTGTCCATATGCTTAGCAATGGTTTGAGAGAAATGAGAGTTAGAGATAATAATTTGGACAATGAAAGGTAGAATTAAGTTGACATAGCATAGCATTAATTCTAGGATAGCACCTGTAGCATTTATTCTGACACTAATGTCAGAAAATTTAATTAGTCCTATGACTAAATTCTGTGAATCAGCCCTAAGATTCAACTTTGACTATGTCCTCATTTTCTTCTAAGTTTACCTTCAGATTTACTTCTGCAGAAATACACACAAAACCAGGTTATTAACTTCTGTGTCAGGGATGTAAATAGCTTTGGAAATGGTTTCCTGCTGTAGTTCTATCAGAATTCTAGACGGGATATTTTGCTCAGAAGTGCTTATTTACTTATACTATAATCCTATGCACACTTATTTGAAATAATGTCCACTGAATAAAATGGGACCCAATTCCAAGTAAGCACACATGTGATCATGTTGAAAATACTGTAATAAGACACTCAAAAGCCTGTATGTGAACAATTATTAATGAAAAAGAAGGAATATAATAATAATGTGTCTCTTTTTTCGAGCAGACATTCCTACCTTAGGGTATATAATACTCGTCCATCGCTCCAAATGCGGAGTAAGCGGTTTGGAGTTGTGATCCAATGGGCATCCGATTTCCTTGAGTTTCGAAAGAAAGTGTCTGGAATCCAGATTTTTCCAACCATATTGCTATTCAACATAAGAACCTTCATGGTGCTATTAAATTTCAAGCGACTGTCGTACCAAGTCTGAGCAAAAATGATGTCTATAGTATACTCCTAAAGAGAGAGAGAGAGAATTTCAGTGTAAAATATGAAGATGACTAGAAAACAATACTAAAACTCCTGGGATAAGATCCCATAATTAGAACCACCGCAGTAACTCACATAGTAGCAGAGGTTAGGAAAGTTACTTTTTTTGGATGACAATTCCTAGAATTCCCAGCCAGGATAGCCAATGGTCATTCTGGCTGGGGGATACTGGAAGCTGTAGTGACAAACAGAAATGCTTTTGAGCTCTGGCAGTAGTCACGAAAAAAACTATTAAATTTGCTGTACCAAAGAAATCCTAAATGGTATCTATCTCTTCTTACACTGTATTAATACAAAAGGAGGATGTACCTCAGTCACCAAGGGCCATTGATGTGATTTAGGACATAGGTCTTCACTGACCCACTTAAGATGGGTTGCACCATCAATGTTACAGCCTCCTTTATTGACAGAAAGAGAAAGTGAGAGAGCAGAGTGGACAAAAGGAAACACACTCAGAGGATGTGGCTGAGGGAGAGAAACACAGAAAGGAACAGAACACAGCATTCTTGCACATTCAAGTTTTACAGATTTTAGTAAATCCTGATTTTAATCCTTAGACTATATATGTACTGTGTGCTATCAAGTCAATTCTGACTTATGGCAACCCTTTCCAGGGTTTTGAAGATAGAGAATACTCAGAGGTGGTTTACCATTCCCTTATTCTGGAGGTGTCCTAGGACTGTACAGCTTGCCCATGACTACACAGGCTGGCTCTTATCCTAGGAGGCACAGTGGGGAATTGAACTGCCAACATCAGCCAGATACCTAAACCACTGGGCTATCCAGTCATCTTAGACTACACTTCCCTAATCTTACAGGTCATGGGCTATTTCAATCATTTTTTACCTCTGTGGCTACAATACAATTTAACTTAGTCTTGTCTCCACTTGTCCATGAACCAAGAAAAGCAGAGTAGCCCATATAGCTTAGTCTGAGTGGGCAATCATTATAGGAGGGGACCTTTTTACCTTTTTCCAAGAGATTAAGTTTGTTCACTTCTTGCTGAGAACTACCATACTCAGCAAAGAAGCAAATCCTATTTGCATATGCCAAGTTACACATATTTTGACATTTTGAGGGCATTTTCCCATCTTCTCTGATTTTGATGGTCTGCCCCCCAAATGATTCCCTTACAAACCTCAGAAGGGAGTCAACTTGTCATGTAAATCTTTTAAGCATCCCCTTTGCTGGCTTGCTTTAGTCTTACCTGCACCACAAATACAGTAGCCCCTGACAGGAACACCAAAAGGTGTGGGTAGACAAGGATATGGGACAGGTTGATTTGTGACCACCCATATATCATATGGCTGCCCAGTTCTCCATATGGGCCAAACCATCTGGTCACATTCATATTTGTACATGCTCTCTTGGGAGTAAACTTCAGTTCACTCAATGAATTTTACATATAGGATTGTGTCCAAACCAAGTCTTTGTCATGCTCACATTCCATGCCATCTCTGGCTTCCTCCTCCTATCTCAATGAATGGATTGAGCATAGTGATGTCTCACATCCAAGAGTGCAATACAGTTTGAGATGAAAACAATTGATAAAGCAGAAGATCGGCCTTCAACCACTTCTTGCAGATCTTTCCATACATCGAACAGAAGTAAGCTAACCATGTTGTGTGGCGGAATTTTGACACCTGTCAAAAAAGCTATTTTTTTCCAAGCTCTATATGTATTCCAAAAAAGAAAATGCAGCCAGTCAAATTCCCTTCTGTTATATAAGACTGTATACCTGCTTGTTGCATTTACCTCTTAGCTTTGCATTTAAAAAACCCTTAAATGTACATTTGAAAATGGTAACAAAAATGATCTCAAGATTACTGGGATTTGTGGAGACATGATTTCACCTTCTGGATTAAGTTATAAATTATAATGAGGTATTTCTACTGTATGAGGAAACTGAGCTAAGTAGCACACTATAGGGACCCTTGCTCATTGAAACTGCTGATATTGGTGTGTGTGTGTGTGTGTGTGTTTTAATGAAAGCAGCAGGATACCAAGCTCTTAAAAATTAACTCTGTTCAATTACAGATCTTAAAAATGAACTCACTTCAATTACAGATCTAGAGTCTTAACTTTAGACATCTAATTCCAGGAACCATGTCTGCATTTTATGCATATAAACTGATAAATTCCTGTGGCGTGACATGGCCACATTGTTCCTCTTTCAAATAGTTGGATTAACGTTTTTAATACAGTAGTAGCAGATCAAAGGAATAACATCAGTCAAGGAGATGTCACTGAGCTGCCTTGCTGTGATTGTTGAATTACCTCTATATATGAATTTGACAGTTACCGTTCCTTCCAGAGTGTAATGGCTTCTGTTGTTCCCCTGTTATGTTCAGTCCATTTCTACAACTACTACTAAAAATAGCTAAATCACTGGAAAAAATATTATGTTTTATACTGGACTTGTTATAATGGCCTTTTAGATGTTTCAAACTGCATGTGTCATAATCATTTACCATTGACCTTGCTGTCTGAGGTTTCTGGGACCTGAAGTTTAAAACATCTGAAGAAGGTTCCCTTCCATTGCTACATAGGATGCCATCTTCTGCCAGTTCATACTATTGTCCATCCAGCTGAACCTCATCTCCAAGGGGTATAAAAGGAGTCCATATCATCTCCATTTCTAAGGCTGCTAATTCAGACTTTTGGATTAGTAAATGCATTAGAATAGACTTATCCTTCTGGCTAAGTGTCTCTTCCTGTTTTGGAATTTTGCAAAGCAATTTCCAGCTTCCCAATTGTATACAAAGTCCCATGTATTTTAGGTAAGATGAGTACAAACATTCATGTTGCAAGGATAGGTACATTCAATTTAAAGGTGAGTGTTTTTTTTAATTACATACACAGTAATGCTGAAAAAGGATGGAGCTGGTTTATAACTGAAAGCTTGAGGAGCTGACACAGTTGGGAAATCTCTATTATTTATTCTGACTTGCAGTGACTTTCCAGGATCAATGGATGAGGCTTTTGATGTCACTGGGAACTGAACCTGAGGACATTTCCATGTGCTCTGTTACTGAGCTCTTGTATCTCCCTAGGTCTATCCTCTAGGTATTACGAAATCATAATTACTAAATCAGCACAATATATGTAAACTAGAGTGCCATAAGGGGTATGTGAGGGTTCAGTCGTTTGCTCCAACTCTTTCTCAAAGAACGCACCCACTTTTCTGGGTTTAGAAATGGGGGTAACATTTATTGGGGTATTTAATAACAGTCCGGTGTTAGCAAAAGCACTCCAAACATTCTCCCCTTTGGACACCAGGTCTGAAGGGGGGTTCCAGTCATCAACTTTGAAAGGGTTTTTACCCTGGCTACCCCAGGGTCCGGGCCACTCTGGTGGGGTTTCATTGTTCAGTAATAATCCCTCCTCTCCTTCCAGTAGGGGGATTGTGTCCTCTTCTCGAATGTCCACCCAGTCACACTCCCTGGAGGGTTCCCCCGTCTCCCACGGGACTCCAGGAACTCTCTCTGTTGGTTCTCCCAAATTCTCCATTCTAGCCTCTCCCTCCATTCTCTTTCCACTCTCTCTCTTTCCTAACTCAACTTCTTCCTCCACTCCTTAGTCTCTCGTTCACCCCAGTATGATGGCTTGGGGTTTAACTCATGCCTCCTCTAAGCAACCGCTTCTTCCTTGGGGACACACAGTTTCTCTGTCCTTCCTGTCCATGGATCTTCCACCCAGATCCACTCCCAGCCTACTGGTAACTCTCCTGTCCCCCTTTTTATATTCCCTAACCACTATTTCCTGCCTTTTCTCTCCCACGCCCGCCGAGATAGTCCTGGATTCTGTGATCATGAGTCTTTTCAATTCTCCCTCCAAATCCCCTAGGTCCTGTCCGGGAGGTCACATCTTCTGGGGTGGAGGCACTGGTGGGGTCTGGCTCTCTTTCTCAGCGGTTGGCGGGAGGGACGGCACTCCAGAGAGAGGGGTCTCTCTCTCTCACTTCCTCCTCCTTACAGGGTACAGTGCCATGTGCTCAGTAGTGGGAGGATATCTATGACAGTTCACATTTTCTCTGCAACCCATATTTGAACCCATAAGCAACTTCAAACATGTTTTTGAGTCATCTGGCCTTTCCCACCAGTTACTCATAAACATATTCAAACCCATTAGATCAAACATAGGTTGCAGAAAAATATGACATGTCATATAAATACTCCTCCTACTCACCCGGAAAATCTGGATTGTTCACTTAGGTATTAATCTCATTGTGTGAACCTAGTCTCTGTCTCTCAGTCTAATCAGCTTGACTCTGTTTTGTGAGAATCAGAAGGGGAATTCTGTTCTCCCAAGCCCTTCTAAGGAAGAACACCCAGAATGGAGAATTATTTGTATTCTATAACATCAAAAAATCCTCTGCCTAGTGGAAAGTATTTCAAACACATATATGAATTAACACATATACATTCTGTATAAAGATTCCAGTGGTCCCTATGATGCTCAAGTGAGAGATACTGAAATACTTTTCTAAGGCATTCAGATTACCTGAAGAAGGATATTTGATATTAAACATAATGGAGCAATATGAATCCATTGTGCCTGAACATTGAGATTTACCTGTTGAGTCCTTCCTGCAGTATCTGTCCTTTAGAACTGTTAGGTTGGTGTGCATAAGTGGCAGGGGCTTCCTTTCTATTGGTCTGTATCTAACTCCTTCTGTTCAGACATGTAGGCAAGAGTAAGACCATTTTGTTTAAACCCTGGCATGTACAATCTTCTTAGTTTCACTTATGCTGCCTGTCTCCAAATCCCAGCTGCATTTCCTTCCCATTCCTTCTTCATAAGAGTCAGTAATTCCATAGCAGGATTGCTCCATTTTGATTCGTTTCCAGCATGTGCGATCACTGGGATCAAACGAAAAATGGATGGCATGCTGTCAATTTCCCATCTGGTTTCAATTTCCCAAGTAGCTTAAGCAGACAGCACAGCCACTTCACAATACTGGAAAA